AATCTCCCAGGCCAATTTAAATTACAAGCTCCCTGAAATGGGCAGAAAGGTCCCAAAATGAGGCTTTGAATACAAGAAAGTCAGAAATACTGGCCTGAAATGCAGACAAAATGGCTGCTGTGATATTCAAAATGGCCGCTCGTAACTGCCACAGTTCAAATAAATGTTCAAGGCTGAGGGTCCAAACACAGTCAGATCAGGCCTCCAAGCAAGCCCGCAGACAGAAATAAGGTTTGTCAGCAGTCCAGGCTCCCATCCGCTCCAGCAGAGAGCCTAATGTGCCAGACAAATGCCGGGGAATCAAAGCCGCCCGGACTTAATGGCTGCCAAAATTGCACAGGAACCAATGGCTGCTGCAATAATTTCCAAGGGCCCGCACTGTCCTCCTGGTGCGACCCTGGCGGCTAGCACAGCCCTTTATATCTCTCCAAGGCTCCTCTGGCCCCTTTCAAATGAAACAGCCAGCGCCTAGGCTGCTCAGGCTGGCATGGCTGCAGCAGGAGTAAAAAGTGGCTAAAAATACGAAAAAAGCCGCTCCGCCGAACAGCTGACGTTCGGGGATCAAAAGTTACAGCCTGCGCGGCTCCCGTGGCTGCAACGAAGCCCACACGCTTCCTTGCCGAAATGTGGGAAACCGGGGCGAAAGCCAGCCGGTTAGCCACCCGCACCCGATTAAACTGGGGAGGTTGGGGGGAAACTTCAAAACCGCCCCCCCCTCAAAACTCAATCTGCGAATGGAGAGCCCTCCCCATCCAGTACCTGTAAGCAACAACAGCCGAAAGTCAGAAGATAGACGTAAAAAAAGAAAGAAAAATCAAATAAAATTCCAGGAAAAAGAGAAAGAAAAAATAAAAATCCAGGGAAATATCCTAAACTCAACTCACAGCTCAGGAGCTGACAAAATTGCAACCATGAGCTAGACTGAGTTGAAAAAAACTGAAGACACGTCACCAGGGAGGCGGATCTTCAGAAGTTTTCAACTCAGGACATAGAGCTAGAGCATAGAATAGCCCAGCCTGGCACCTCCCATTTCTACACTATGGAGAACTGGTGAGTTACAAAGTTTTAGATGGCTTCCTCCCAGTCAAGCCATGACTTAACATATTTTTCAGAGTATAAGACACCCCGGAGTATAAGACGCACCTACCTTTTTTGTTTCGTTTTTTTTTAATAAAAAGGTTTTTTTAATTTGTAGACAAACACACATACAAACATACAATGTATTTTTTTTTTTTTGAACAAAGTATTTGGCCGGTTCACAAATTTAAACAGTGTTTAGTATTTTCAATTAAATTTACAATTTCTATATTTCCTTTTTGCCATATTTATTCTCATCTATTTTTTTAAAAAACCAATATTACCCTTCATCCTCATCTCTAATCTTAATCAAATTCAATTTTCCCCTTCTATTCTACATTATACCCCTTCCCATTGTCATCTATTTTTATATCCATCCTCACATTGGTTAATTATGTAATATTACAATTGTTTAATACAAATTCAACATTTTAATATAAATCAATTAGTTATATAGCTATCTTTTTTGTATATTAATCAATATGAACATGAATATTCCAATTATTTCCATGCAATCCAATTTCTTACAAATGAATTAATTATATTTACCAATAATAATAAACCAAATAATTTCCCCCATATATTCCTCCAAACCACAACTTAACCATTTCTGCTTTCAACACAATATACAATTAAAAATATTTCAATCGTTACAATTTTCCTAATTAAATTTAAAAATGTTCAAGCTGTTATCCAAGCTACAACTTAATCCTTTTTACTTTCACCACCATATACCATTAAAGATATTTCAATTTTACAATTTATACTTATTCGTATTTTTTAAAAAAAGAAAAAAGAAAAACTTATTGTCTAGATTTCAAAAATACAAAGACAAATATTCCAATTATTATTCATTTCATTTTTACAATCATGATTCCCCATTTATTTCTTACTACTATTCATATTTCAATTCTAAATATGTTCAACATCTTTCTCTTTCATTTCTTTTTCTCCCTTCCCATTTTTATTTTTGCCTTTTTCTTTCTCCTTTTTTGCTTTTGTGTTTTAAAATCTTGAACTCTCCTCTTTTGCCCTAAATTTCCCATTGTTTGCACCTACCTTTTTTGGTGAGGAAAAAGAAGAAAAAGAAATCTCCCTCTGCCTCTGTCTCTGCCTAATTTTGCGATGTTACAACAAACAGCCTGCTTTACTTTCATTTTTGTTTTAAGCATAGCTTGATTAGCACAAGGGGAAAAATAATCTGCTCCAGCAATTTACCTCTTTGCATCAAGTAGCAGAGCCTTGCACAAAACAGCTGAGAGCAAATTAGCTGAGGCCAATCTAATCAATTTGTGCTAATTAGGCTGTGCTGAAGCTGAAAGCTGTTTTTTCTTGCAAGGAGGTACCGTATTTTTCGGAGTATAAGACGCACCGGAGTATCAGATGCACCTACCTTTTTTGGTTGTTGTTTTTTTTTAAAGTTTTTTTTTAAATTTTTAGACAAACACACATACAAACATACAATGTATTTTCTTTGAATAGAGTATTTGGTTGGTTCACAAATTTAAACTGTTTAGTCATTTCAATTAAATTTACAATTTCTATATTTCCTTTTTGCCATATTTATTCCTCATCTATTTTTTTAAAAAACCAATATTACCCTTCATCCTCATCTCTAATCATAATCAAATTCAATTTTTTCCTTCTTTTTTATATTATACCCCTTCCGATTGTCATCTATTTTTATATCCACCCTCACATTTGTTAATTATGTAATATTACAATTGTTTAATACAAATTCAACATTTTAATATAAATCAATTAGTTATATAACTATCTTTTTTGTATATTAATCAATATGAACATGAATATTCCAATTATTTCTGTGCAATCCAATTTCTTACAAATGAATTAATTATATTTACCAATAATAATAAACCAAATAATTTCTTCCATATTCCTCCAAACCACAACTTAACCATTTCTGCTTTCAACACAATATACAATTAATAGTATCTCAATTATTACAATTCCCTAGTTAAATAGAGCTTTCCCCTTATGTTACTCATTTTCACATCTTAAACTCTCCCAATAACCCAGTTTCGCCCATATAGAAAAATATTCCAAGTATTATTCATTTCATTTTTACAATTATGATTTCCCATTTATTTCTTACTACTATTCACATTTCAATTCTAAATATGTATAACATCTTTCTCTTTCATTTCTTTTTCTCCCTTCCCATTTTTATTTTTGCCTTTTTTCTTTTGTGTTTTAAAATCTTGAACTCTCCTCTTTTGCTCTAAATTTCCCATTGTTTGCACCTACCTTTTTTGGTGAGGAAAAAGAAATCTCCCTCTGCCTCATTTTGCCATGTTGCAGCAAACAGCCTGCTTTACTTTCAGTTTCGTTTTTCACCATAGCTTGATTAGCACAAGGGGAAAAAAAATCTGCTCCAGCACTCTTTGCAGCAAGCAGCAGAGCCCTGCGCAAAACAGCTGAGAGCAAATCAGCTGAGAGTCGGGAGACCGATCTAATCAACTTGTGCTAATTAGCCTATGCTGAAGCTGAAGGAACTGTTTTTTCTTGCTGTTTGCTTGGAAGAAGGTAACTGCTGCGAGGCACAGGCCAAAGGTGGGGGGCCAGTGGGTGGGCAGGGCTACATTCGGTGTATAAGACACACCTAAATTTTCACTCCCTTTTGGGGGGTAAAAAGGTGCGTCTTATACTCCGAAAAATACGGTAACTGCTGTGAGGCAGAGGCCAAAGGATGGGGGCCGGTGCGTGGGCGGGGTACTTTCGGTGTATAAGACGCATCTAAATTTTCATATCCTTTTCGGGGGGGGAGGTGCGTTTTATACTCTGAAAAATACGGTTAAGAGAAATAATATGGGCAAATATTGTTAAGTTTCCACGAAAACTAATACACTGAGTATGGCATTAATTGTTCATTGGTAAACATTGAACGAATAATGGCTTCAGAGGCATTCTCCAAAATGAATGAGGAATTCAGTTGTACATGCAGGCTGAGTCCAAGGGAGGGCTCAAACTCGTCATCAGTCATGACTCCTTTGTGCCCACAAGAGATCCAAGTCCAGCCCACCTTGAATTCCTTACCTACCTCCAGTTTGCTTGGGCCGTTAGTATTTCAGATTCTTGTGGAGAGTTAAATCTTGCAATAAATCTTTATATCCATTTGAACTGCCTGGATCTTCTGATTTCTTGGTGCTTGACAGTATAAATTGCTTAGTTCCTTTACAAGCAATAATGATATAAGATGATTAATTTTCTTTTTCTTTTTTCAATTTGGCTAGAAATTGCTTACTTGGTTTACCCATGGGATGCAGGCCAAATTATTCTGTTGTGGTAGCAGAGAGTATAGCCAAAGAGCCAAAGATTCCAAATCATCACTGGCCTCAGCAAAAGCAAAATATGTTAGAGATGTAGGCTCCAATTCTTTAGGTCACAGTATCCTTTCTTCTTCCCTCTTTCACTTTTGTTATCCTTGAGAATGGAGGAGATAAATCAATGACTTTGGATTGTTGTGTCTACTACAAGCAATCCTCATTATTCAGAGATTTCATATTTGCAAATTTTGTTATTTGTAAAGCCAGAGTGTCAGGCTTATTCACAGACAGACATGCAGAGTGGCAGACATTGGAGTCCACCCATTGCTTGTGGTCTCAGAGAGGTTTCAACATTCACTAATTTAGAATTCCTGGCATTTTTACATAATACAACTACTGCAAATAACAAGAATGCTTAATATGATGTAAGTAGATATTAATACTGATTCTCATTGTTTTTTCATATAATTAGTAAATAATAACTTCTAAAACCCATGTGTTAATAATTTTGAAGAACCGGCTATAAGAGCTTTCCTCAATAGATGTTCTCAGGGGTATTCTAGTATCAGTAATTTGTACCTGGCATGGTGTTGCTTGCTTACTGGCATTTATTGAAATATGATTCACTTCATCTAGAGCCATGATGGTGCACGGAGTCATATCTGCGGGCACACAAGCGGTTACCCTAGCTTAGCTCCAGCATGCATGTGTGCGCAGGCCACCTGATTTTCAGCTGGCCCCGCCCATGCCACCCCTCCCTTCCCAGGAATCTCCACGTGGCCCGTTTTGGATGCCAGGTAAGTACAGGGCTTGCGCGGAGGCTCTGGGAGGGCGTTTTTGGCCTCTGGCGGAGTGGGGGAGGCTGTTTTCACCCTCCCCAGGCTCCAAGAAAGCCACTGGAACCTTGGGGAGGTGAAAAACAGGCCTACTGGAAAGTCTGGAAACGGGCCGTTTCTGGCCTCCGAAGGTTTCAGGGAGGCATGCTAGGCCCAAAATGGGAAAGTGGAGGTTGTGTGCGCATGTGCAGGGGAGCGCTAGGGAGAGTTGCACGTGCATGCGTGGGGTGGGCGTGGTGCGGGAGACATTGAATTATGGGTGTGGGCATACACACGCGTGACAATCCCCCCCCCGGTGCTCCCCCTGCTTTTGGCACGCAACAGCAAAAAGATTAGCCATCACTGATCTAGAGGGTATTAGGTTCTTCCCTGATGAATTAGATAACAATTTCCCATTATAATGTGGTGATAAAGTGCTGGTAATGTTTACCAATCTCTCTCTCCCATTTGTATTGCTGTTTTTAAAAAACTGTGCAAAGAAAACTCTTGTAGTTTCTGGTTAAAACAGTCATTAGGACTAAGTTCTTGAAATGTTTTGGACTTTGATCTAAGGAGGGGGCTTTTCTGAAGACTCAGTGGTATTCAGCATATGTTTTTGTCACAGGTGGGTGGGGGTATCTTAAACATTTGTCTCCCTAGATGATTATTTGGTTATATCTTTACTTTTAAAAATCTGAAGTCTTAGTTTGAAAGCTAATCAGATGCTGTCAGCAAAAAGTGCAAGTGAGATCTCCCATTGCTTCTGCTTAATGTTATCTCTTCTGACTATTTGCTCATGCAGAGGGGAATGCTGAGTTACTTTACAGTTATCTTAGGACTGAGGTTAGCAGGAAAGGAAAATATCCTAAAACTTTTTAGGGAAGGCTAGAGGATACACACACACACACACACACACACACACACACACACACACGGAGAGAGTTAAAAAGAATTAAATCATTACTATTTTTTTTTTCTATTCTTAAATTTCACAGGATTCTGGATGGTTATTAATAAGATATTTCTCTCTCTCCCTCCCTCTATCCCTCTCTCTCTCGCTTCCCCCACCGTTTCCCTTTTCCTTTCTCTTCCTCCCCCCCTCCCTCCCCCAGGCCTTTGGTCAGTTGTTCATATTATATGTTTTGGGGAGGAGAGGATTGCTTGGAAATTTCCCTTCTTTCTGTTCTAGTCTTAAGAGCAGCTGAAGTAGAATGGGATCGCCATAGATAATAACTCTGCCTAGCCTGGTATAACTCTATATATACTATATAATAGTATAACTCTATTGCAGTAGCTGGGAGAATCATGTTGTAATAATAGAGCTCCTTGAGATACATTTTTTCCATTGGTGTTGGCTGGACTGAAAACTCACACAAACAATTAGAACTTGCCCAACCCTAATGGATTTTTCTTTTTCTCCAGCGCGCTGCTTGGAAAATCCAAAAGCGTGGGTTATTCTTGGTCTGTCAGCCAGAGACTGAGTGAATATGTCTTTAAATTTTGTTGACTCCGCCTCCACCGCCAGGCTGAGGTTCAGTTTCGTTCACTCAGTCAGGCTACAGAGACTGCTTTGGAGTTCCTCTGCAAGAAATTTGATTGAAATTTCACCCATGACTTTGGATTCTTCAACATCCACTTGTCTTTATTTTCACAATTATTGGAGCTGCATCGTCTTATGCTCGAGGAGTTTGGACTTTGTGATCGACCCTCTTCCGCTGCTGGCGGTCGGTGAGTGGTTCCTGGGGCTCCAGGCTGGCTCCTGCTGCCCGTACCTTCAGAAACATCACCGTGGAGCTCTGTCCATCGGACATCTCCGCTTGGCTTAACTTTGCCGCCGGTGTGCGCGCTGATTCCCCGGCTTGCCAGCACAACCGCCGCCACCTTCTTTCAGCTCCATGGACTTACAGAGTGGCTTCGGAGTCAGTGCCCAGGTCTGCTGCGGCAAGAATTTGGGCTTCGCTGCACCTGGAATGCTCTTTAGTGTTCATATGCTTTTCGACTCACTCACAGGACCGTGGAGGTGCTGGAGGGCCTTTCCCATCTTCGCGCCATTTTGTTTTTCAACGGCCTGCTGCAGAGGGGCTGAGGAATAATTTACCCGTGTGCCATTGTTACTGCTGCAATTCGAGTCGCTGGAGCACGGAGGAGCGGCCTAGCTCTTGTGCGTTTATCAGGGGACAATTAGTGAAGCTGTGCAGGGGGCACGGATTTACTTCTGCACCCGCCATTAACTGATGACTGGATCAGCCATTTCACTGCTGTCTGTCATTTGTGATTTCCATCTCTGAGCGCTCTAGAGACGCTTTGCTGTTAGCGCCAAAGTCGTCTTCTCGCTGAACTGATCCAAGTAGATAAGTTTGACTGTGAGTTCCTTATCCTTCTGATCTCATCCCGCCATAATTTTTTTTAAAAAATTACAATATCTATCCATGGCTGACTCTGAGCTTTCCTCAGATCTCGAGCAAACCTACAGTTCCCCTAGGGTTCAAAAGTCTGCGTGCAAAGGAGCCAAGAAGGGCACCAAACACGCTCCTGGTGTTGACAAGCCCACTTCTTCCCGGGGATCCGGGCATTCCTCGGCAGATGCCAAGGATGCTAATAGGAGGAATCGAGCCCTAGAAAGGCAGTTTGCCTTGGCTCGCAAGAAGCCCAATGCTTCGGGCCATCAGGGGACCGCAACAATGTCCACGGCTGCTCTGGATACTGGTATGAACCCTCGCCCTCTGCCAATAGCTGTCCAGGGTGCATCCTCTCCTGTTGTTCCCCTCCAGTCTCCAGATACTGGTGGGCAATGTTCCTCTCAGCCTTCCTTATCTACAGGGCCTGGAGTGGTGGCTCCAAACCATCCTCCGTCGCTATCTTCGGCCCCAACAGCAACATTCACCCCACAGCCGCAGGACTCCGCGCTGGGGAAGGATTGGACCCGACTCTGTCCTGTAACATTCAGGCCTTAGTCTCTGAGACGATTTCCAAAATCCTGTCAACTGGACATCACAAGGCATTCAGTTTCCCTCTGTGTCAGTGGCGCCCCAGCCACTCGCCCAGCCGTCTGGTGGGCTTGATCATGATGGATCTTCTCAACAGGATTCGATCCATAGCGAGGATTCCTTGCTAGATGACGAAGACCGTGGGGCCATGGAATTTTCTGATGACGGTCTGGAGCCTGACAGACACTCATTTACACGTCTCTTCCGTACCTATCTCTTTAAATCCTTATTACATAAGGCTAAAATCATGACTTGTTTGGCTGTTTCCAAAAGTCAACCTGATCGACAGAAGGCGTCCAATCCCCACAATGTGTTGTTTACGGTTCCCAAGACGGAGCTGAGTTTATTCCCTGTCCTGAACTTTTCACAGAACTGATTCAACGGCCATGGAACCAGCCCTGTTCTCTAGCGGCACGTAATTATTGCCGACGGCCTGCGGACGGAGGACCGTAAAGCTAAACTCGCCTTCCGCAAGACTCACCCTAATGGCATCCTGGGCCATTAGGGCTGCTACTTCGGTGTTATTCTTTAATTGAGGGTCATTGATTTGGCTACATCAACTTCAAGAACACCTCCCCCCAGAAGATACAAGGCTGCACCAAGATAACAACAAACTGGTAGCAGCCCCGAATATTCTGCTGGCGCTTTTCTGAATGCAGTGAAATTCGCTTCCCGCGCCTTGGCCTCCACTGTCACATCTCGTCGCCTCCTTTGGTTATGTCACTGGAGGGCGAACATGAAATCCAAGTGGCGCCTTGCATTGGCACCGTACAAAGGTTCCAACCTCTTCGGGGAAGCTTTGGACCCACTATTGGTGGAGGAAAAGGACAAACGAAAAATTATGCCGTCTTCTTACAGACAGGTGCGCAAAATCCTGGCAGAGAGTGCAGACGTTCTTCTGATTGCCCCTCATTGGCAGCGCCGTCCGTGGTATGCGGACCTAGTGAGTCTCTCTGTCGCCCGTCCCTGGAGAATTCCCCGGAACAGGATCTCTCTCAGCCAGAGGGTCATTCTGCATCCAGAGCCTCAGTGGCTCCAGTTGACCGTCTGGCACTTGAAAGGATCCTCCTGAGGAAGGACAACCTTTCAGGGCGGGTGATCATCACCATTCAAGCTTCCAGGCGAGACTCTACGAACTGGATTTACTGGATTTGCTTGTGGTGTTCCCGGAAGCACATTGATCCAACCTCAGCTTCCGGGTCTGACATCCTTGAATTCCTCCAGGACAGTTTCAACAAATGTCTGACCCCAAGCATTCTTCGTAGGCAAGTGGTGGCCTTGCACACTGTCCTACCGGGTACTGTTGATTACCCTCTTACCCAGCACCCGAGGATTTGTAGTTTCTTAGAGGAGCTGCCACCCTCCACCTCTCCACTGCTACCCAATATGGGACCTTTCACTGGTTCTCCAAGCGCTCATTTGCCTCCCTTCGGATCTTTGGAATCCATCAGCCTCCGGTTTCTGACTCTGAAAGTCCCCTTCCTGGTGGCAATCACTTCTGCACAAAGAGTTTCTGGGATTGCTGCCCTATCCATTTGGAGTGACCTCTGTATCTCCCATTCGAACAGAGTAGTCCTGCAGATGGATCCCTCCTTTTTGCCCAAGGTCAATTCATTATACCATTGCTCACAGGACCTGGTGCTACTTGATTTCTGCCCGGGCCCAAGACACCGCCTGGAAGCCCAGTAGCATACCTTGGACGTCAGGAGGGCCCTCCGCAGGTACATTAAACGGACTGCACCTTTCCGGAGATCTGAGGTGCTCTTTGTTTCCTTCCTTCCTGCATCAATGGGCAGGAAAGTATCCTCCTCTACTATCAGCCGCTGGATTAAGGCATGCATATGCAAG